GATCAAATAAATCATTCTTTGATTTGAATTTGATCAAATCAAATATTCAAATATCAAATCGAATTGCAGAACTCTACTATCATCTGTGCCTGTTTTGCTAGTTCACAGACACTCACACAATGGAATTTAGCATATGTGTACCCAATCCCAAAACCTAAAGCTTGGAATTGCAATTTAGATAATACTTACCCAATTACACTCTTGGATATGATTAGAAAAGCATTTGTTAAAATTCTAAATCAAAGACTACAGGACGTTTTCATTAAATACAATATTCTCAAAGGCCTAAATTTTGCAGGTTTACCACATCAATCAACGATAGAACCGTTACATATTATTAATAACATTCTTGAATTTATTGCTTAAATAATAAGATAAATAAGTACAATCGCTCAAACCTATATATGCTTTTTCAAGATATATCAAAAGCTTACGATAGAGTCAATATCTTCATGTTACAAAAAGCATTAGAACAATTAAAAATTCCCTTTCCTTTCATTAATGACATCACTAATCTTTTTCTAAACAGAAAGAACTCTGTTTTCACAGTATACGGTAATACTGATCCATATAATGTCATAGTTGAAATTGATCAAGAAGAGGTTATATCTCCTCTACTTTAGATAATTTATTACAATCCCCTCCTATTTGAAACTCTTTCTTAGGATATAAAATGTCTGTGTCATGGAAACTGGACATCACCAAAACAGAGATCTCAGAAATTTCTGCATATATTTCTAACTCAGCATATATGGACGACACAATTTGGGTTACTAATAGTTTATCAAATTTGACTGCTATTTTTGACATCGCCCAATCTTTCTTCGATGAAAATTAATCATGATAAGTCCTTTACATGCACAACTAAAGTGACTAAAGTAAATATCTCACTATACAGTAAATTTCTAAACTGACCGATTTCTTTTCCAACAAAAAAACCATTAGATTCAACCAGATATTTAGGAGTATGGATTTTTGCAAAATATAACAAAACTTTTATTAAACAACAAATTCAAAGTGAAATTGCAGAGTTCATTCTAAAACTAAAATATAAGCCATTAACAGATATACAACTGAAATACATATTTAACATAGTTTTAATCCTCAGGATCGAATATCGTTCACAATTAGTTGTCTTATCACCTAAAGAATGCAACACTCTTTTCATCAAAGTTCAGATTTTTCTCAAACACAAACTTAAATTTCCAAAATCAACACCTAACAGTATGTTAACCAGCAAACTGACTAATGGTTTTAATGATCTCGCTGCAAATATGATACATTTAAAATTATAACATTTCGCCAATATGATCAATGGTGACCTATCTTTATCGCTCCTTTTAAAAACAACTGAAATCAGACTAAAACAACTTCAAAAATTTTTTTGGCTTTACGACAATCCTTTGATTTGTTGGCCTACTTCTTTAAACAAATTTCATCACGATAACTTTCTTGGCAACATAATTTCTTTCTATTTACAATCGAACTTGTCATTCTCAAACACATCAGCAAATAGTTCTAAATTCAGTATTAAAGGGGGCAAAACTCCACTTCATAACATCATTCCTTGAAAAAAAAAGTGGATAAATTCATTACAACACAAATCTATATTATTCCTTGATCAGCTCATTTATGAGGGTAAATTTCTTATAAAATTCAGAGATATCAGCACCCATATTAACTAGGTAACAGGAACCGTTAAAGCGTCCGAAGCATATTAAAATCAGTGATATATGATAATAAAATTAAAAATGTAACAATAAAGTGGTACAAAAAAATAACAAAATTTAGTTGGTACAAATTAATTTTATTAAATACAAAATCAAACACGATTTTTAAGATGATTTTAATAATTGATTGCTTAAAGGTAATTCACAGGTTTATATTCAATTTTATTATTATATACAATCACGAGGATAATGCATATGATATTATTATACAAATAATTTTTTACAATTAATTAAAAAGATTGTAAAATACATGTTAAAATAATCTTAGATCAGTTTTATTGTAAATTCGTTAATTGTTTTTAATTTTTTTTAAATATATCAACTGCGTTAGTGCATAATTGTGAATTACAAATAAAAATAAAAAATAAAAAATAAATAATTGGTTTAGTTTGTTATTATTATTAATTTAATGCTATTATTGTTATTTTAATAGTTACACCTGATCTCAGAATTTCATTGGATAATAAACGCTTGCGAACAGACAGAATTATCATTGATATGGAGTCTAACCATAAGTGTCCTACGCATACGCTTCAGACAATAATGATCATCACACAGTCAAAGGCAGTTTTTCAGAATGGTTCTCTTATTTAGAAAAAACTATAGTATTAAACCCTATGCAGTCAAATAGAATCAAAGATCAATATACTATTAGTCTATTTGTTCCTGCTGGTTTTAAAACTTCCTCTCCCATGGATTCTCATAGAGTATCAGACTGGGTTGCTCTTTGGACTCCACCTGAAATGAACTACTATAATCTGCCTTATCCGGGACAGACTATCATAGGAAAATCTTATAAATCTCCGCTTTTTCCAAACAAAATTCTATTTCAACACTTCGTTCCGATCAACATAACAGCCGATTCACGATCTCCATCAAAAAAACAAAATACTTTTGTAGCCTGTACTGGTTGTACCTTTTATGAGGAATCACAATGTGCCAGACTTCCTGTTGCTACTCAACAGCTCTTATGTGGAAATTTAATTGACTCTGACCTATCTCATCTTATTCAAACAAATTATTTTACCTCAGTAAACTCAGAAAAACTTTACATTTTGAAAAGGAATATCAAAACTGTATCTGATCAAGCTATACAAAGATATCTTGACATGAGACTGACCATTGTACCCAATAATCTTTTAATTAGTAATAGTTCCCCTTTTTTTACTATAGAATCCTTAATATCTTCACCAGCAACCTGTATACTTTTAAATTAATTCAAACTTACTCTAAAAGTCGAACACTCATTTACTTTTTACACCGATGGTTCTTATAAATTTGATCATCATTTCACTTTTCCTATTTCTCACTTAAGTTCTGCTTTTCTTCTTGTTCATGATAATTTTAATATAGAATTCACTACTGCCATTCCTTGTTTCTGGGCTAACTCTACTAATGCTGAAATTTTTGCTTTACTTTTAGTTTTACTAATCTGCCCTTCTGATTCTGAGATTAACATTTGTACAGATAGTCTATTACTAATTCACTCATATAACAAAGTTAGAAAACAAAATGTCTTTAAATATCCTTCTTTAATATTCAAACTATCATTCAATTTATACTGGTTCTTCATTTTTAAATTTTTGGAAGAACGAAATATTTCCCTTTTGTTAAACAAAATAGCTGTGCATTCTGATAATCCTCACAATAATAAGGTTGATCTACTCGCTAAATCTTCTCTTCTTCACTTCCCTCTTCCTATTCATTTTACATATACATCGTATCTTTCCTACATCCCAACTTTCAACAATATGCCTATTCTTACTACGTTACGTCCCTTTCTAAAAGATTTTACAAACACCAAACATTTTATTGATTTCTACTCTTTAAAAAGAAATAAAAAATATAGTCTCTTACACATAAACTGGTTTCTGACCTTTGAATTTATCAAACTTGGCACTCCTACGGAAATATCATTTAAAGAATCCTGAGCGTACTGTAAAAGACTCAAGTTCCTCTTTAAACAGATTCTAACAATTGAATTCTTAAAAGCAACACAACCTAAACTCTACAATACCTCCTGAAAATGCTGCCATTGTCTCATCGAAGATGAAAATTTCAATCATATATGGACTTGCGTCAAGATCAAAACAAAAATGAAAGACATCATAACCAAAGCTCTAATATTACTCAAACAACAAATTTTCATTTATACTTCTAAACTAATTTATCCCGATAACATTTCTTCACTTTTTTGTACCACACACCCATATTGGTCCTTTAGAGCTGACCCTTACAATTTTACATTTATAGACTTCATTAAAGGCATCGTACTTTCGGCTCTTCCTAAATTATTCAACCCTTTTACAAAATCTTCATCACTTACATCTAAAATTCTTTCTCCTTTTTACGACTTTATTTTTGATCAATCCTACGAAATCATTTGGAAAACCAGATGCGACGCTACTATTACCAAAGAACGATCTCTCAACATTTCACAGTATAATAAAAAACTTAACTATAGTTCCTCACATTATTTCACTATAAATAGTTCTTCTAACTCTCTTTCTTCCAATCATATTCTCAAATATAATCACAATTCTTTAATGACTAAATCTTACATACATAGACAGAAATGGTCCTTACTACTAACGCAGTAATAACTATTTATCAAACATTTTTCACAAATTAGTTGGATGACGATGGTAATTCTACTAGTGATTATTACCGGAGCCTGATGGGACAACCGGTTGGTCTGATTGGAGTTAGTTTACTAATAAGGATAATTAGGCAGCATTTTTATTTTTCTACTTTTGTAATCCTTTTATTTGGGGATTATCATGTTTTTTTAACTGATTTTGAATCTTATTAATAAATAAATGCATTACTACGTCTTTAAAAAAAAAGCTGATCCAAAATCAATGAATGTTAGCTCATTGGATTCGTCTAATCGTGGGGAATCAAATGGTAGTATTTTCATACGAATTGGTGCGATATTGACTGAGATCGTACATCTTTTGTTTTTTTTTGTTTTTTCTATATATAAAAAATCATGTGATATGAC